CGTTGTCCGACTCCGAATCAGGCTCGCCGAGGGCATCTGCACGGGAATCATTGCCATGTGCGTCACCGGCCTGGGCTTCTTGGCCATTGCTCTCGGTCACTCGTTGGGAATGTCTGGCTCTGCGTCGTCTAGGTTTGTTTATCCGCCAGCTCCCCCGGGCCTTCGCAGGAGTCCCTGAGCTATCGATCCTTGAGCTATCGGTCATGGTTCAAACAGCGGCATAGGATCGCTGGACGGTATGTTTGTATCAAAAGTCCCCAATGCCTCCCAACCGTAGGGAAAACACAATGATGGACAGGCTGCACAAAGAGGTGCAATTTTTATAACCACAACTCGGAGTGGACCCAGCAGGGCATAGAATCCTCGTCTAATGCTGCTTTGAGCTCTGAACGTTTGTCATCTCCTTTTTCTTCCCATCCTTTCTCGTTTTTATTCTCGATTTTCTTATTTTTTTTCGATTTTTCGATTTCTTTTATTTTTCAGAATCTTATTTCTTTTTGCCCCCTCTCTGTAAGGGTGGCCCTCGCTTTGTCGGATGCTTGGCATGAATTGCGCGGTTTCGATCCTCGGCTCATGTTGACCCAATGTTAGGCGAAATTCAGATGCCGTAAAAATTATTCCTAGAGATCCAATTACTAGTTGTTGACCGTTAGTTGTCCATCACAGTGCAACAGACGGTTGCAGTGGAGTCGACTAGGAACAAACTAAGCTCCACCGCAGCTGGAGCTAAGCCAGGGGGAAAATGAGGGCCTGGAGACGCACACAGGCCAACCGATGCCAAGGCTTTAGGGGAAGCCAGGCGACCATAGTGTACCAACACTAATGTTCACCTGTACAGTAGAAGCTCCACCCTCGTAGGCGAACCGCTCAGGAGTCTCAAGACGACACGATCAAGCATGTCAGAGTGCTGGACGTGATAGAGACGTCCACCGAAAAGGACTATCGGGTTCCGGTGGATCCAACCCCAAAAAGAGACGCGCTGCAAGTTCCGAGGTCATAAACCAACGGTCAACCCTTGTTGCCCACCCCAGGACACATCTTTCGCTAAGAGCAACAAATTGCGCCCTGCTCTGCCCTGCCGAAGGTTTCACCGGGTCAGATATCCTTGGGGGCAATCATGTTATTCACACGGTCAAGGCGAAGGGGCCCGGTGGTCAGAAAGTGGGGGTCTGATGAGGTCAAGGCTGTTCTTCCTTTTATTACCAAGCTGAGGCAAAAGAACACCCCTTGGAAAGATATTCAACGGATATGGCTCAAGAAGTTCGGCATTCCAAGAACGGTAAATGCGCTGCGCGGGCAATGGTATCGCGCTCAATGGGGCTGGGTCCCCCAGGTTGGGAGCGAGAAAACGCCGCCGGCAGACGTCGAGACAATGGCAGAAACAGAGTCCTCGGATGAACTCCCACAAGCAACGTCCTGCAGCCCGCTGCAGCCCTCGCGAGCGCGACGGAAATCCGTGTGGAGTGTCCCCTCGAGCCCTGAGCCGTCCCCCACACCTGATTCGGAGGACGCCCAAGTACCTCTCGCCGGCGTGTCAACATCACAGACCCTTCCGTCGACCACGGTCGAGCAGAGGGCAGCGCGGAAGTCCCTGAGCAAGAATCAGGAAAATGCT